GAAACACTACACTCCAGAAGAGCGCAATGGGATCAACTGTGCAAGGTCAGGTCCTGGTTCCTGCTGTTGTGTTGGATTGTACCCCATTTCAACAGAGCTGTGTGTGGAATCCCACACTCAGCATGTTCCGTGACTGTGGGCCTTGAAGTGCAGGTCACTCATCTCATTGCATGGAGAGCAAAGGGATATTTGGTTGTTGTGTTTCTGATGTGCTCAAGGGGTGTGGAAATTGAATAGAAATCTTGCTGGCTTTGCTATTGCTCCGTGATTGACGCTGAAATCCTGCTCTGTGGAGCTACAGGGGGTAAACTTATCCTTCACCTATTGGATTAACAAGTTCATTGATAGCTACCTTGTTGGGTGCCCAGAGAGGAAAGCCATCATTTTGACAGAATAAAGTCCTCTAACGTGCTTTAATGAGAGAGAATAAAATTTAATCTGTTGGTCACCTTTTGCTGAAGACTGTAATTTGAATACTAAACCATACTGAAATCTGTGTTTTTTTGAACCTTGCTTCTTAGGAGAAATAGAGGGGCTTTCTCTGAGGTCCTGCAGTAGCTTGAAGAATGTTCTGAGGGAGACTGGCTGCAGGGTGGTGGCCTAGAGGACCAGATGGGGGCATGCATTTCCCTGTGCTGATCCGTCTTGCTGTGAAACGTGTGTGTCCTGAAATCTGGAGCATAAGCTTGATTTCAAATAATTTTTGTAGCATGAAGGAAATTGGTCTTTAATAGCTCCAGGTAAAAATTTCACCTCTTTGTCTTGGCTGCTTACCATTGTCTGTCTTCTGTAGGCTATGAAGATGCTAACTGAATAGAGTGCCTCTGTAAATAAAGACTCTTCTTGAGTCTTTATTTCTTCAAGCATTTATTTAATAGGAAAGAGGCTGTTCAGGGCTCAGAGTCTCCTTTGATCTCTCTGTCATAAGGCCTTCCGGAATGCTTATACAGAACCATGGGACTGAAGCTGAAGAAACACTAAAGGTGGGGTAGGAGCTTGCTTGCTGTGCAGTCTCCAAGTTTCCTGCTCCCTTGGAGAGACAGCAAGGAGGTTGTGTCCCTTTTCTGAGGCTGAGCAGAAAGCATTTGTCTTGGGCCTTTGTTAAATGCAGGAAACTTGAGTCCTGTATAATGTTAACTTCCCAGGAGGCATTAAATACACAAACCAGGCAGTGAAAGGGAATTGTCTTTCCTTCATTTAGCATTTTCCTACCCCCCATGTACATGTTAAGTCATGTGTTCAGCTGGGAAAAGCGAATGGTCAGAACACCATCCTGAAACTTTATTCTTTTGCCCTATCACTGCCCTCCTATAGAGCACTCCAAATATTTGTCCAGTTGCCTCGGTTTGCAAAAGGGAGACAAGGACATTTCTCCAGTTCCTGGAGATTTTTTTCTTCTGGCTCATTAGTTCCTGTAATGAGTCGAAGAGCTCCAAGTGAATGCAACACGGTAGGGTTATCAATGGAAATTTTGTATGGGATAGCAGGGAGCCTAGATCTAAACCATCAAACCAAGCAAGGGTAGTGATTATTGCTAACAAAGTCCTGTTGTCTGCTTTGAAAGTACAGCAAGCCCTTCAACTTTGTATGAGTTTTATTGCTTTAAAGTACACCCTAGCAATGCAAATAAGGTCCAATAATGTCAGTTTTATTTTTGTGATTGTATCTATATAGGAAGCCACTGTTTGCAAGTAATTAATTAATTCATAGTTGTGGTAATCCAGCCCATCACCCTGTGCAAGAAGAGGCAAATACTGTGCTTTCAGTAAGTTTTCAGTCTTTTCCATGGCCCTATGCAGCAATTGATACAGTGGACTTACTGAACAGGGCCAAGTCTGGCTTTTGAGGGCAAGAGATTCAGCATCTTGTTTGGCCTTTACCTCTGCAGCAAGAGGCCTGTGCATATAACAGGCATAGCAAATGCTGTTAGACAGAGGATTAAGAACATGGTTAGAAAGTTGTGGAATGGGGAAATGTGTCCACTGTTCCAGTTCTAGTGAGAAGCAATCGGTAGGTGTGACTTGACAACTCTACTATCTTGTCTGGCCATTTCTGTTGCACTGAGGAGACAGTTTCCTCCATCCCTCTGCAAGCTCCTTCTCCCAGATGTCCTGTAGCACCTGAAGGGTACCAGAAATACTGCTCTAAAAGGCCATCTATTTAACCTGCTATTTTTATCAAAAAATCAATACACATACAGGATTTCTTTAAAACTTTGTCTCTAATGGTGTAACGCTCTGGGAGAGCTCACAGGGTGCCAGCTGGATTGAACTGATGTACATGGTATTGATACATCCTGACACTGCATCTGTCTGCTGTCATTAAGGCCTGGAAGTGGTGAATGTCTGGAGGTTCAATTGTTTAATGCCTGTGCACTCACATGTATTTGTATTGATGGGGTTTTGTCCTCTTTTACTCCATTACATTGACCCCCAGGGTAGGGTTTGTGGCTCAGAACATTTGCTAGCTGTTCTCTGTAAAGTGCAACTCACTGTCACCAGAAATTGGAAGTCTATGTGTCATCTAATTGCTAACTTTCCTCCAGGTATGTTTTTAATGATGGAACTTCCACTTAAATATATGGTTTTCTCTTTTAATTCAAATACTTGCTAACTTAAAGCTTGGGAAAATCTGTGATGTTCAGTTCACTGGAAAAAAGATGGTACTGTGAGGAGGTATAGAAAGGCACCAAACCATTAGGTCCTAAATGGGGCACCCTTGTAATTGACACTTGAGCTCCATGTGCCCCAGAGAACTGTAAAATCGAGTTAATGCTGGAGCTGATTTGACTTAAGAAACCGCCCCAGAGCCGAACTGCTTTGCAGTTACAATTCTACTTGTATAAAAGATATACCATTTGGAAATATATGCTTGCAGTTACAATAAACACTGCAGTCAAAATATCTCCAATGCCTGGAAGAATTCTGAGTGAGCAGCTGAGATGATCGAGTGATTTAAATAAATGTTGAACTGGTGCAAACAAAGCTGGATCTGAAAGCAGCAGTTTTCTCTTGCTTTGGTTTAATTGAAGGTGGGTAAAGCAGGAGTTAGAGGTCTAAATGAGCCAAATTCCAGGTTCACACACATTCTGTGAAAAAAAGCTCAAGTCTGGAGACTTGCCAGTTTGTTCTTGTAAATTTGTTGAATTCTTTCTTGGTGTTTTATTTCAAATGCATTTCCCTTTCCCTCAAGAAAAATCTAATGCAATATGCATGGTGTATAAAGTTGAGAGGGAAAATTGGAACAAAATTTCTTTTTAATACAGAGAAAGAGTCTATGAGAAAATCTTCTGATGACTGCTTTAATGAAAATATGCAGGAAATGCAAACTTTTTTATGGGTAGATGATGAGACATGGGGGAAAAGGGATGAGAGCTGAATGGTTACAGTCATCCAAAAGCAGAAAATCTTAGAAGTATTATTTTTTTGTTGCTTCTCAATATTGTCTAATAACTGTTTCAAAAACAACTTCAGTGTGTCTTAGTTAGGAAAGGTATAATCAGTCCTGGTTGCTGCAATGGCTTTTTCATTACCTTTTAGCAAGTTGGGGTGAGATTATTTGGAGCTATAGTGTGTTGATGCTCTCCTGTGTTCAGTGCTAGCAGGTGATATTAGACTGCACTTTGCCTCTCCTTTGTATCTCCCCCTTTCCCACTCAGAGTTCAGCAGTGTGGCAGATTGCATTCCTGCACGGCTCACACAGGGAAAACTTACTCCACAGCCTGCCTTTCTGCAGGAGCCCTTTCTCTTTACTTCCATGGGCTGCACTTTTCTTTTTTCAGACAGACAGTCCCATCACCTCTCCCTCTGAGTTTGTGCACCTTAAGGTTATCTGAGAGTGTGGGCTCATAGGAAAGTCCCAGTGCTTTTGGGCATAACCGATTACGGAATATGTGGGTGATACAGAAGAAATAGAATAGTTTAGTGATTGACCAAAGTAGTACAGAATCACAGTCTTGCTTGCTGTTGAGGTACTTGACTTGGCAATATTGTTACACTACTTTGAGGCGGAAAATATTTAGATGAGATCTATGCAGAAGAGGGAGCAGGATTTGTTTCTGGGTAATTTCATTTGTTTGTAAAGATTTCTTACTCTTCAAGTCCTGACACAGTATATTGGAACTGCTAATGATATAAAAGTACCACCTAGGTATCTTCCATAACAAAGGACAGTATTTATGAGCTGCCCTGCTAAACTGTCACATTTCCATTGTTGCTTGACATTTGTACTGTAACTCTCTGGACTGCTGCTTCATTCCTTTGTCTCTGACAGACACTCATTTAGGAGTCTTGGAAAATACAAGGTGGAGCCAGTTAACATTGAATGATCTTAAAACTAGGCTGAACTTTTGTTTTCATCAGGGAGGAAGATGATGCCATCAGCTAATTTGGTTGATCAATAGCCCTGCTGGCGATAAGGTTTCAGAGCTTGTGGCTAAAAGCTGATTGCACTGTATCCAAAATAATTTGATCTATTGGTTTCCACAAATGTAGCATAGCCCAGAATGATGTTTCAGTGCTGATGCTTAACTGGTTTTAATAATGCTGACAGACTAGCCTGGTGCCTGCTGTGAGGACACTGTTAAACATGAACCCTGGGCAGCAGAGCACTTACTTACATTTTTTACAGTAGCATGGAGCTGTCACTCTCTAGTGAAGGTTCATTATTCTAAGACTGGGAAGCGTTACAGTGTTTGGTGAGCAAGTGTAGTGACATCTTTCATGAAAGCAAACTTTGATTCTGGTCTCCTAAAAAGAGAGAGGTACTGGCAATAATTAGACTGGTTTGTTAGTTGTGGCTGGAGAAATAACTGTTATTGAAAAATGAGGAAAAGCTCTGTGGCCAATGTACAAAAAAGTGTGCAAGCCATGTTTGTGATAACCATTTGGGCATGTGGTCTCAGAAAGAATCCAACCATGTTCTTTCTTTATGTGGGCTGGGACCATATTCTACTGGGGCAATGGACTAAAATTTAACTGGCGCTTTTATTTCTATTTCAGTGACTATATCATGGCTACGGGACCCACAGAGGTCACACAGTCACCTGAATCAGGAGACACAGTTGAAGAGTGCACAGGTAAGCCGTTGTTCTCAGAATGTATAGTTGATTTGGAAGTCAAAATTTATTTTCTTCAGGCAAAGGGGTCTGTAGTGAGTAATTTTGCAGTGTTGTTTTGGTTTTGTAGTGTAAAAAATCTCTATATGGCTTTGTCAATTGTCAGTATTATGGGAAAGGTTTTTTAATGTGCAATAATGGAGCAACATATCCTGATGGAGAATATTCTTTTTGGTTCTGAATTGGATTTCTAAAAGCAGGATGTTAGAACTTGAAGAGCTGATTGTGTTGCCTGCTTTGGTAGATCCTGCAGAGGTGGGAGCTGAGCCTGTTAGCCAGCTTCTGTCTGTGGCAGCTGTATTAGTACCCCCTAATATTTGCCACCATCAAAATATTATTAGAAGAGAGAAGCAAATGGCAAAGTGACTGTTAGTTGAACTCTGCATGGCAGATGGAGAGAGGTGAAAAAAGTGTAATGATGGATGCTCAGCAATGGCTGGCTTCTTAAATTTGTAATCTAGTTTGTCACACAGTCTAGTGCTATCCTGTCAAACTGGTGAGCTTGTGTGAAACCCATGAATGAAAATTTTGTACTCAGGTTCACTAGAAGATTCACAAAATGGATCAAATTATGAGCTGGGTGACAGGGAAAGCAGGAGATGGCTCATGATCTGAAGTGCTGGCTCTACAACCACCAGGAATATTTCTGTCTCTAAATGAACAAAAACGTGAAATACTTAAAGGCTGCTGCTCTATTGCCAAGGTATTCAAGAGACACTTGACTGGATCTGGATAAAGCCATTTGAGGATCTTTTGTTTACTTCCAGTATAATGAAGGATTGCCTCACCTCTTTATAACTTTAATTGGTTTGTGATCTAAAGGTTCCAGGAGGCTAAAATCCTCAGCCTTCGCAGTCTTGTCAATTAAATTGATTTCTTGAGGTCTGCCTTATTCACGGACTAGTAGCAGAGGGCTTCCAGTGCATGCTGCTCCTTCTTGATGGCAGCAACCAGGTCACTGACCAAAACCTGTCAGCATCCAATGTTACCCTTGCTGAATTCCATGATTTTAATGCCTGTCTGGCAATATCAGGTATTTTTTTATGGAGTTACAATAATGGTATTTTCTGAGAATTTTGTCTATGGATTAGGGCTTTTGTTTTCATGTGTTTTTATTGTTGAGAGTATCCAGTCCTTGAATTTGAGGGGAAAAAACATAGAAAATCTATCCTGACTGTACCTTAGGAAGTCAGAGACCATAGAAGATCCCTGAATTAACTGTTTAATTTAAATATGATCATTGAACTCCCAAATCAGATGCTTCTTATGCTTTTTACAGTCTCAGTTTTGCACTGGAAGAAGCATCTATCTTTTCTATCCTGTTATAGGAAAGAATGATTCAAAGAGCAGAAAGTCATGTGTTAATTCTCTGTGCACAGAAGACACAATGAAATAGGCAGTACACAAACAGTAAAAAATACAGAATATACAAACTTTACAGAGAAAGCAAAATGGTTATTCCTGCTCCTTTTCTGTTATAGTTGGCTAAATCATAGTTAACATAAGCAATTAATATTTGGGAAGGCTTTTGCTTTTTAGGGCAGTAACGTTTAAATTTAATATTTTATTTTTAATGCCATGAAATTTAAGATTAGTAACCATAAGAATTCAAAAATCATGAGTCATTGTTCATCAGCGGGTGAAGGGGAAATAGATGTAGTTGTCTGGGCTTGGATTTTTGTTATGCAATGAAATTTTTCCATCTTGAGTAATAAGACCCTCTCTATATTATTAGTTCAAGTATCAGAGAGCACTCTACCAATTCAGTGATATATTGAGCTACTTCACAGTGCACTGAATTGTTACTTAAATGTAGCATCCTTTTAATGGTGTGCAAAACCAGTGCACAGCTGTTCACAGCAGGAAGCAAATATGGGTGCTGTCCTTCTGAACCATGCCTTTTGTGCCAAATGCTCTCACACAGAGCAGCCCCACAGTTTTCATCCAGCACTAAGTGTCTAGTAGTGATTTTATCTTTTTTTTTTAATGTAATAGTATGGCAAGCACCAGTCTCTGGAACTCCAGGGAAACTTACTGATTCCTCACTCATCTGAGACAGCTGAAGGCTTGGTGCTGAGCAGAGAGTGGTTGAAGAGGAGTTCTTGCTGGAGGGGATGTACCCTGCACATCACATAAATTAGAGGCTTAGAGAAGGCACTGAAGTAACTGATGTGTCTGCATCAGAGGACTCTCTGTTGCACAATGATACCCAAACCTTGTCCCATGCCAGCTGAGGTTTACTCCTTGGCGGTTTTTGCAAATCCTTTCCATGGGCTCCACTTTAAAGTTAGCACCACTTCTGATGTAGACAAGTATTTGGAGTAGTGTTTGGCAATGTTAGCCTTTGTGGTAAGACTTATGTCTGTTTCTCTTAAATGTCCATGGATTCACTTCTTTTTTGTTATTGTGTTGTGGTTTTTTGGTTTGCTTTGTTAACACTCCTCTGGGTCTCTGGAAATACCAGCACCTAATTAAGCTCAGTAATACTTGCACTAAAATCCAACTTGCTTTCTGTCTGTACCACTGTCATCTGACCAGTGTACGTGACAATGTCCTTGTTTCTCATTCAGACAGCTTTTGAGTTGCAGAGCTCTTTGCCTGTATCAAAGTTTGCCATCTTGTTCTTTGAGTCATTGGACTGTGTTAGCAGACATTGCTGAATTGATAGTTTTGAGGAACTGCTTTCATGAAACTTTTTAAACTTCTGTTTTGCCTATCTAAAATAAACCAGATCAGCTTTGACAAGTTTCCTGGAAGAATACCATGCACATTGTCTTAATTCCTGATATGAAAGGCAGGAATGGTCAGGAGGTGTTTCTGAAGACTCTCTAAAGCACCCTCAATATGCTTGTTTTCTTTGAGAGGCTCTGTGGTCTATTCTTGCTGTGTGACCTCTCTTCTCTTACCAGTTCTTGCTTTGGGTGCAGCATGGAGCTCACTGAGACCCATGAGAGCCTTAACAAATCCAAAAGCCTTGAGATCAGCTCTGTAGTCTGATCCAGGCAATATGACCTGTATGTTTGCTGTGACTGTCTCATTCACTGATGAGCAGCCATGAAAGATGGAAGGGCCTTCCACTGACAAACCCTCCGTAAGAGCGCCACATCCCATTATTATTCAGATGAGTGGTACTCCAGTGACAGGTTTGTTCCAGATAGTTTGAAAGATAGTTTGGTCTCAGAGACAGCCCCAGTCCCTTGGAAAGCAACGTGCAGGTCTTTGCTGGCTGCTGCTGCTCTGCCGTGTCGCCAGTCCACGCCGGACAGTGCAACAGTGTCCTGCGTGTTCTGACGTGTGGTGCTGGCACTGGTCTGGAGAGCAGGGAGGAGACAGGGTGAGCAGACCTCTGTATCATTGTTTGTTTCTCAAAGTGGCCACTGTCTGATGCAGCTGTGCAGTGGCACAGTTTCAGCCCAGATAAGGCCCATTGGCAGAGGTCCCTACACGTACAGGGCACACGCTGAGACAGAGCATCGGCGACTAAATCATTACTGGGAGAAGACAATAATTGTGTTGAAATAATGCCTTGCTTATGAAGGAATCCTCCAGCTGTGGGCATTTATTATGCCAACTGCTGTAAAGTATTATTGAACGGAGAACTTGGCTCAGATCTGCAATGATGTTATTGCTCTGCCTATGTATTTTAGTCAATCACGGGGGTCTTAGTACAATAGTTTGGCCCAAACCACTCCAAAGTGACCCCTCAATGTAAGGGTCAGTGACAAAATGCAGTACTTGTCTGCTGAAAGAAAGTAGACTTAAGAATGTTAAAGTATCTTAGATTATTGAAAAGGAAATGTCAGTGAAACTTCATATGGTTTATTTTGTTATTTTTTAATTTTTGTTTAGACAATGGAAAATTTGAAACCAGATTAACAGTTTTCTATTTGTGTTCTTAGTGCTGCTGTGTTTGGGACTTTTGTGTCCTGCAGGGCAATGTCTTAATTTAAGTTTGCTCCACTGTCCTTGAAGGACTTGCTTTTATTCTGGGACAGTGGTTTAATGTGGAAACAGATATTTTGGTTTTAGAGTTTATAAATTATTTTGCCAGTTTCAATCTTTTTGGCAAATTTGAATGTCCTACAGGTGTTGTCTCCTTATTGCACTGAGTAAAGAGAAAGCAGAACTAGACTAAACTAAGTAAAGAACATTAAGAGTTAAAGACATTGACAGCAATTTTTTATTAAAAATACAGCAATTATGATCGGTGTTCAGTTGTAGGTAGATACATTCTCTATATAATGGGTATTTTTGCATAAACTAGAACCTAAGTAGGCACCACTATTGTCAGCTTAATGCCAGTGTTGCTTTAGAGGCAGCAGATGTAAGAACTGCAGCTTCACCTTTCACTGGACTCTAGCACTGAATAATTTAAAAGGAGCTGACTAAAACTGAATGGGCTGCCTTAGCTTTAAGGCTTGCTCCAGAATTTAAGAGATAACATTCTCCAAGCTAAGCAATACCACCAACTTTCATGAATTTTCATTTTTCTCATCTTGCAGGAAAGAAAAAATCCAAATTTCAGACTTTCAAGAACTTCTTTTCCAAGAAGAAAAGGAAAGAGCCTCCACCTCCCAGGGGGGAAAGTAATTTAAAACCTTGCCAGTCCAGCAGCGATGTCAGCATCGCTGCGCTCAACGCTACTGCACTTCATTCACCGAAGGAGGCTGGGTAAGCTGGCAAGGAAGGAAAATAAATAAATAAAAGCAGGCCTCTCACAGCAGTGGGATGAAAGCATGAGTTGGCCCCTTAGGAGCAACTTCTGTCCAAGTTTGTGCAAAACAAGGCCTAATGCTGATGAAGGAATTCCAGGAATTTCCTCTTTCTTTGCTAGTGCTTGAAAAGTCAGACTGGAGAGGAGGGGGAGGGCAGCCAGGGGCAGGGGTGATCCAGCCTCTCAGTCTAGAACTGCAGATAGCCCAGATTGTTTTGATTGGTTTTAGTGTTTGAAATCTGTCTTGGAAGGCCTGATCAGCAGCAGCTTTACAAGAGGATGATGTTTGAGTAGTGTTAATACAGAGAACACGTGTGGAGTGGCTTTTTTAGCATCAGTGCCCTCTATCATGGCTGCAGTAAAGAAAAAGAAGTATTTCTGGTATATTATCAGCATGTGATTGCTTCTTTAACTTTCTTACCTAGACATTTAGGCATAGATAAAGACTGAAGGCCCCTGGTTTTGTGTCACCACCCCCGGAGGGCTGGGCATGTGAGTGAGGTTTACAAGTCCATGAGGTGTGTCCAGAGCAGTTCTCAGACCCCTGAGTGATGTTAGCTCAAACCCTTGTCCTTTTTTCAGTCAGTGTTGTACAAGCTATCAGCTTGCACTGCTAACACTGCTTCACTGATGTTAGACCACCAAACTACACAACACTTACATTGCAAATCTCTGACTGAATCTGGGCTGGGACAACCCTCTGAGCATGGTCGTGTCTCTTGCCAGGCATGTTGTGGAACAGTATCAGGTAACCTGTAAATCTGGCTGTTTTCCAGCTCTCCCACCCTCTTCATCCTCCCTTGTTAGCCACTAAACCAGGCCTCTCTTTGGGTTACTCTACACTTCGGGTTGTGGAGCTGCAGACTAACAAAGTGTGACAAAACACTGGCCATGTCCAATGGCTTGCAGTGTTTTGTTGGAGGGAGCACTGGATGGATGTGACACTGGCAGAGGGCATGAACAGGTGACTAGAGTGGGACATGACTGAAATCAGCACTGCTGCCAGATGCTTTGTATCATCAAATAGAGCATTGGGTGGAGCATTTCTTCTGGTGGAAAACTTACAGATGTTACTTTCTCATGGGTGCTGGCTCCTCCTTGCCCCACCTTTCCCCACTCATTCGGTTTTGTTTATGCAACTGTATCATGAAAATGATCTGGGAATGAAACAACAATCTCTTTGTTTTGTTTGTTAGCATAACAGCAACAGAGTAAGTGACCACACAACCAGTCTCCTGGGGTAAGGGGAATTAGAGTGACTCAGCCCAGTCCAAAAAGTTTAGAGACAGCTGAGCTTACCCCATCAGCCCATAGGAGGCAGCTGTCTGCTCCAGAGGCACAGTCGGTGCAAACTCTTTCTCTTGCCCTTAACCAAGTATTTGAAGTCCAATTGCTGTTTACCTCAGTGCTATCCTCCAGTGATTATGAACTGTTTTGCAAGATCAGAGATCAGGAAATGAGTAAAACCCTTCTGCTTTTTTCCCTTAGAGATAGGATTAGATGGACTATCAAAAAAACTTAAGGATATGTTTATACTACTCGAAAACCCTATTATATCCAGACTGTGCATGGCATAAGCACACTTTATAAGTACCTAAAGAGACTGAACTATGTAATCCTATGGAAAACCTGATCCTGAAAGCCAGTGGAAATACAACTTGTGGAGGGTTTATAGCAGGACCCTGAGCTTTGCAATTTCTGGCATGCAGACTATAAAACCCAGTTCTAGAACAATGCTGCTCTTTGCTTGTTCTTGAGGCAGAAGCACTGGTTTTCTTTTTTTCTTTCTTTTTTTTTCAAGCGTTGTTTTAAAACCAGGTGCCCACCAAAGCTGCTCTGTCACTCTCCTCCTCAGCTGGACACGGGAGAGAAAATATAGTTAAAGGCTTGTGGGTCAAGATACGGACAGGGAGAGATCACTCACCAATTACCACCACTTTTCATCCCCCTACTTCAAACACTAATAAAAGGAGTGGGGTTGCAGCAACAAGAAAGGGAAGGCAGCATAGGCCACGATAGGTTTAGGAGCTGCTTTCCTGCTGCCTGCAGAGTCCCATCGTTTCCTCAGTCATGGCAGCTCAAATGTTGATGCACATGAATGAATCGAGCATTTGTATGGGGAAATCAGTGTGGAGATACAGTGGTTAAAACATCTGGGCTTTAGGTAGTGCATCTTTAGCGTCAGTGCAAATATAAATACACTGCCTGGAATTACACAGGAATGCAGATCTGCACATAAGCGACTCATCTGTACTAAAGCTGCAGTTAATTCTATGCTTAATCTAATGCTCTTTTTGTGACTGCCAGAAGAAAATACAGTAATTCTCTTGCAAACACATATGATACACATGCAGAGAGAGGAAAAGAGAAACAGATCTTGAACTGGCAGTCTAAAGAACAAGGAAACCTTAGCTCTGATTGCTAAGGAATTCCAAGTAAAGGAAGTGAGGAAATCCCCAATTGGAAAAGTTATTACATTCTAATGCACATGCATTCTTTGCAGTAAATAGAATATGCTAAGTAATAATGATTATACATTACAGTAAATAAAAGTTGCATGACTGTTTTTCTGAATGCAGTAAAATTATGTCTTGCCCATATGGAGTATTTTCATGCTGAAAAGGACTATAAAATCAAGCACACAAAAGGATGGGATGGCTTTATTAACTCTAATCATGAAGTAAGGCAAGTGCCTTGCTTGTGTGTAGGACTGCTGTCCTGTAGACTAACACAGACATTAACCATCACTTATAATGGGAGGAAGCACAAACTCTGACCTGTGCTGTGAGAGAAAGAGCTCAGATTGCCTTTGACACAATGTAAACATGGAGCAAAATTATTTTACCCTACTGTGAGACTCGATATAAGTGTAAACTGATTGACTATACCTTTGTGGCAACAGGAGGGTTAGTCAAGCAGCTAAAGGAGATGTCTCTGGAGATGTAAAGAAGGGAGATGTGGGAGGAAAAAGAGTAATTTTTGGGGTGTTTTTGCATGGTGTACTTACTTTATGAAAGCTCACAGTCCTTCAGGGCTTTCTTCTAAGTAGAGAATCTGTGGTTGGGCAAATAACAGAGAAATATTTGACTTTCTTGCAGAAGAGTTTTGACATCCTGGATTTTTCTTGTCAGAGCTGTGTTCCTAATCATCCTGTGTTACCCAGAATCAAACTTGCAGAGGCAGTGAGCATTTCCTGAGCCAAGGAATCTTTGTAACTTGAGTTAGTGGTCTCATGGCCTATGATGAGAGAATATTAGTTAAAAACTAGGATGAAATCCTGGTAGAGGCCATCCTTATGGTCTTCTGAACAAAGTAATGTACAGATAGTGCTTGCCTATGATGGTGGAACTTGGTGAATAAATGATATGAAGTCTTCCTTGTTGTGCCAGCCAAGGGCAAAATTTTCCCTGGCCAACTCAATAGCTCAAACCAAATCAATCTCACTTGTTACAACTCAGTTAACAGTTGTTGTGGGAACTCATCATTTCTTCACTGGGCTGAACACCCAGTGAGCACAGAAACAGAGCAGGAATATCTTACCTGGGTACTTTAACTTGGCCACGGATAGGTGTGTAAATATGGACATGGACATTTGTCCCACCTACATTTTTTAATACATTTGGGATCTGGAGATGTTCCAGATACAGGTGAACACAACTGTTTTTATTGCTGGACCTGAGAGGATTTGAATCAAGTTTGTTAATGTAACAAAATTTAATTTTCTGCCCACATTTGCGAGAAGCGGAAAAATAATCCCCTATCTTTGGCAGGTATGACACACACCAGGATGCAAAGTTTGTATCCTGAATGTCTCATGCTTGGCCCACTGCCACCCAAGGAGGGCAGGGGATTTCTGTTGCCCCCCTCTGCACTGTAGACATTTCTCAGGGTGGTGTGCATCCACCTAAATTCCAACATCAGACTAATCACCCTGGGCTCCCTCTCTAGTTTACACAGACTGATCTGTGTGTTCAATGCAGATGCTGAGTAGTCTGAAAACAGACATCTGCATTCAATCATCATCCTAAAATGTGTTTCTCCTCCCTTCTGACTATAAAAGAAGCTAGCAGTGACTACCTTAAACAATTAACATGCACAAATCTGAAGTTAAGTGAGATGCATCCTGCCCTGGAACTCTTTATGGTCCTTCTGCCCTGGTGAAATAGTGTGGGGAAGGTACCCAGTGCACTGACCACTCTTCCTTCCTTCCCAGGCCCAAAGGAAGCATGGGAAACAAAGCCTTGTCCCATGACAGTGTCTTCATTTTTGAATCTGCACCAGGAAATGTGGCAGGTGATGTGTTGTCTCAGGAAAACATACCTGGAAGAGTGAAAAATTTGCAGGTGAGAACATCATCCCCTCATTCGTGGTGCTGCTTTGTGTGAGCTGTCTCCTAGGAAACTCTGTTTCTTGATTCCTTTGCTGTGTGCCTTAAGATTTTGCTGACTAAAGTGTCCAAAGGCAGATTTACTACTTTTGGATCTATTCTGCCTCTTGGAAGCTGCATCTTTGAGCAGTGCTGGTGCTTTCAGCCTTGCCCAGATCTCACAGTGTTGGAGTGACATGAATCCAGCTCATGGACTCTTGGAAACTTTCCTTATTGAGCGTGTCCTCTTTCAGTGGGATTTATATTCTTTACTTCATAGCTACTGCTTTTGGGTTAAGGCCATTTATTTATACTATAGTGTGTCCCTTACACTGTTATTCTTTAAATATTATTTATGTTATTTTTTTTGGCAATTCTGGCTCTGATGTTTTCACTGTACATGCTACCACCAGTGACTGTGTACGTGTGTGGGATGAAGGATATGTCAGGGTGCTCTGACAGCTTTATTTATATGATTATTCTTCTGGTCTTTGCCAGCAAAGGATACTGTATTCTGCTAGATCATTTCCTTCTTCCAAGGCTATACTGAACCCTCCTTGACAGCTCCCTTATGAACTGTTGGGTATATTAAATGCATTTAAGTAACTGCCCAGCTTGGAACACTGAGATAAAAGTTTAAGGTTTTTCCAGGGGCCGAATACAAATGGTTGATAAAGCAGCCAAAGGCCATTGAAATTCTTCTTTTGCTCAGTGTGAGCTTCATGTTGCAAACACAATTGCATCACATGGTAAGTAACTGAAGATGCATGGAGGGGCTTGTTCATCCATAGGACTGCAAAATAGTCAAAGACATTTTTTGTACAACAATAGGAGTAGCAGGAGAAATCATGTTTATATATGGCAGAACTTTGTTGTGGGGGAAAAAAGCTCTTTTCATGCCATCTCCAGTCCACTGTGCCCTCTCCTCATCCATCCATCATCCTGCATGGTAATGTAATACTGCCAGCACTATTTTTGTAGCTGTAAGAGACAGCCTTTTTCTGTGAGCTTGACTCATGTCAGAATAAAAGCCAAGCACTAATAAAAGCTGTTACTTTCTTAGCAATCTAAATTAACTTCTACCACTAGAAGACAGAGTGTAAACTCAGAGTTTCCCCCATACCACTTTGCTGTCTGCATGTAACAAATTTAATAAATCTAACATAGGATGTTGTGCAAAGACACCAAAGCAAAATTGACTTTCTGCCTTTTCCTTCCCATTAAGTGCACAGGTGTGTTGTATGTCTTGTGTTGCCCATATATTGCAATAAGGGCTAGAAATCTGTTTGAACTGGAGGACTGGTGCATTAAAGGGTGACATTGTGCTACCCTGTGTGGCTGTTAGATCTTGAGGAATTACATTGCATATTTATCTTGTTGAATAAGAATTGCAGCTATTTAGATCTATTTTACAGAGATATAAATGAATACATATCTTGCAAGAAAACATAGAATTAGACCTAGAATTTCCCAATATGGTTTAGTAAGTAAAGAAATGGAAAAAAACCAAGTCTACATGTTTATCTTGGGAATATTCTGTAGAGATGTTTTCAGTTGAAGGACAAAGTTTCTGTTCAGACCTTGTTTCTATTCCAGCTTTGACAAGGCTGACAGACTTAAGCCAAGAATTTTAGTAATGGTGTTTCCTGAAATCTGAACATTTTTAGTTTGAGGGAACATCTGGCTGCTTGTGAGTTTGCAGACTTTGTTTTATTTTTCTTGGGTCAGGGTCTGCCAGAGCATTCTTTTATGCAATCTTGGAAAAGAATCCCCATATCCCTTTGCAAACAAAGCTGTTCCTGGCTGCTGTTGTCATTCTTGCTGTTAATAGGAGCAACTGCATTAAAAGTGTCCAAAATGTTCCCTATAAATAATGCCATTGAAAGTCTATGTTCTAAATTTCAACCACAGCTTCAGCTGCAGCAGAATGTCAGACTTGGATCACCTCCTCTTGTTATAACTGGAAAGAAACTGGAAGATGCAGGTGCTGTTTCTGAGGATGATGGTTTACCTAGAAGCCCTCCTGAAATGTCAACCCTTCGTGAAGTTCTGACAGATTTGCCAAACAAGGTATAATTGTCACGTCACCTTGATGACCACCTGTACAGAAAAGAGAAAATCTACCTGGAGAAGGGGAAGACCTTTTTGCTTGCTTGTGATAAATTGTGATGGTATGGATCAGTCAGAACCAGAAAAAATTAACTAGGTGGATTTTGGACTTGTCACTCTGAGGGATATCTAGAAAGTGACCTTACAAATACCCTCTCTGGGTACAATGTTCTATGCTTTTGTGTAGACCAGTACTGAGACAGTTGTGACCTACCTAATTAGCAAATGAATGATTTTGGACTGCAGAGAACAGGCGAGCATTTGTAAATTTGAAGATTTTAAAACAATAAGCCAAAATAATTTTATAAAATATGTTGCCTCATGTGGTCAACCTTCATGGCATATCTCATAGCAGGATCCCAATGAAGAAATGAAAGCTACTGTGTAAGGCAGGAACTCAGTGACCCTTCCTTTATCTTTCCTCTTGTGTTTTCTCATAATTAGCACTGGATATCCAGTCCCAGATAATTCAGTGTGATACTTCCCTTGACTTACCCTCTTCCTTATTTTATCCCACAGTCCTCCAACCCTGTTCAGCGTCATAGCTCTTTGAGTTTAGGCGGCACAGACAGTGAAGATGAACAGGTAAATAGCTACTTTTCCTGCTAATAAACTTTCCTGAGACGGCATGTGTGGTGTCTGTATGGAGACAGTACAATCATTTTACTTTTTAAAATTTATTCTGGGTACAGTGTATCCCAGGAAACAATTCTTTTGCGCTCCAGAGTGAGGCAAGCGATACTGAAAATGTGCCTCTTTGAGTTTTGAATAAGAAATAAAGTCAGGCAGAAATCTAGTGGTAAGTGGTTTGTTTGAACAGCATAGTCAGTTCTTTGACAAAGTATGAATCTGTAAAGTTACACAACAAAAAACTGGACAAGGCAAAGCACTTCAATGTCCCAGAGCCCTAATACCCAACAGCAGTAATAGTTAAATCACACCTGCCCATCAGCAGTGGCTTGTGAGCAAAGCCCTGCATTTCTCTTATGATTGCAGGATCAACCCTTCCTGATGCCAGGTATTCCACAGGAAAAGGTGTGTTTTAATTAGCAATTTTCTTTGTATGATAAATGACCATCAGAAGCAGCAGGTCCTGCTGTCAGAACAATGCGGTCTATTCCTTGATCAGCTTGGAAAAAATTTACAGAGGTTGTGTTTTTGGAGTGGAGCTTAGAGGACCTTCACCTTGACTGTCCCTGGTGCTTGAAGCTGAGTTGAATTCCTGCCCATCTCATGCTTTCGAAGTAAACCCACAGTTTGCTGTATTGCCTTTCTCTAGTGTTAATATTATGCTTGAAAGACCAGTCAGACCACAGTTATGCCAATGCCAAAGGCAGCACCAGTCCAACAAAGCTGATTCAACTCATGGGATAGCAACTGTATAAGCAAAGCAATCTGCCATTTAGCTGAGAAGGGGAATTTATGGGTCCAGAACAGCTACAGACCATTTTGGCCCAAGCTTTGCAGTCCTCCACGCAGAATCCCTGTTTGAGAACCTCACCAGAGAGAACACACTTTAACACTGTAAAGGAAATAGTTGGTAAATGAGAAACAGGATTTCAGCCTAAGCAATCTGAAGTTACACAAGGTGTAGTGTTTTACATTCTGCTGTTGTATTGATCTTGCTGCACGTGATACTTACTTCATATCTTTGCCATGTGTTGCTTCACTGGGATTTCTGAGAGCTTCATGCTGCTGGCACCTCTGTGTGAAACCCAGATGTGCAACCCATGTAACATCTCAGGGCCTCCTCTACAAAGACCCACTTTCTGACTAACCTAAAGCTGTATGTGAGGCTGTCACTTGAAGAGAGCAGCAAGTGGCTTCACAGAGACGTTCGCCAGCGTTACCCAGCCTTTGCCAAGATGGCCTTTATGGAAATCTAACTTCCTTGTTGGCATCTTCAACCCAGGCTGATTAAAAGCAGAACAGAGTCTCTCAGCCTGTGGGACTGAGGTAGTGTTTTGTCAGGAACACTCTTTAGGAGATGGGCCTCCTAGCTGCAGCATCCTCCTTGTGCTGGCTCCTGCATCTGCCCAGTAAGCAACAAACACTAAACTGATCTTACACTTAAATACTGATGTGGAAATTCTGTGTCTGCTCCACTGTTTTTGAAAGACTATACAAACTGTCAGTAGTCTGAGACAAAATTATCCTGAATCCTCGGTGGATTAAGGAATTTGCCATTTATGTATAGCAATAGCTCAAATACTGGCTTCGGTTGGTTTTATATTACATAAACACAACTGTAATTTTATAGCTGGAAAACAGAAGAACTTGTATGTAGAAACTAGAAACAATGTTATTATTTTTTTAAGTTCTAATGATCCTTACAGGTTTATCATTAATCTTGTAGAATTATAACAGGAGTTAGCTTATTTACTAGCTGTGTTCTTCTTCCTCTGTTTCACAACGTGTAAATTTTTCATGAGAAGAATCTGTGGTTTATTTCTCATCTAGGAACAAAAAAAATTAGTGAAGAATAAGGAAGAAAATAAAGAAGAATTTTAGCGACCTTAAACATACAAAAAAATGTACCTTGACAATTTCTGTAGATCAGATGGAAAGATGTTTTCATTATCTCTAAAACTTCATCAGCATACATGTTTTAAATGCTGTGTTATATCCCAAGGCAAAACAAAACTGAAATCTGAATGCCAGACACAGTGCAATGGCTGTGTGTCACCTTGCTTTATAAATGAAGCTTGTTTGGCACGTCTGTGACATTTTGCAGATGTTCCAGAAAGTTTGGTCTACGTTTCAAAACAGTAGCAAAACCAGTCAAACTGCATCTTTAGGGGGTTTTCTATGAACACTTGTGTAAACCCTTTATTTTGATAGCCTAATCTGAGGTTACTGCTCTTTAGTTCCCCAGAGCAGCATTGCTGCAAGGCTGAGATCCACATCCCTGTCTGGAAGGTGGTTCTGGGGTACTTGTTGGACAGAAGCATTTGATTCTCCTGAAAGTGGATATTAAAAGAGAAAAGTGGCTATGACAAATTTCTTAGAGATAAAGAGAAACAAGCACCCATGCTACTTTTGGTGGTTTCCGTACTTTTTTTTAATACTGTATTCCTGTACTGTCGCATAACTGATATGGGAATGCAGCTATACAAACGGCACCAGTGTCTCCTGCTGGTGTGTGCATGTACTGCAAACGAGTTTTCAGATAAGAAATAAGAAGACAAGCTGAGGCTCTTACTGTGGGAAAGCAAGAGACAGGTGTTTCTCACTCTGTGTAACATACAGCTGAACACACAGAACTGAGTAATCTCTATGCAAAGATGACTTTAGGCAAGTATTTTAAAAAGAGGTTTTATGCCCCGAAACACAGCCATTTCAGACTTCTGAAATGGAAGGAGGTAGCAAAGGAACTGTTCCACAGTTGTGGGGAAGCCAAGCAGAATGTCGAGCATTGTGTTTGTGTTTTACAGACACCTTCTGGAGCTTCCTCCAGGCCCATCAGTCCTTCCTCCCCTGCCACTCCGGGGGTCTCCATCTCACGAGGCAGCAGCTTCCTTCCTGTTGACTTCACCACCCCTGCCAGTCCCCTCGGCTGCCTGGACACCTCAGCAGCCAGGCACAGGATTGCCATAAACCCTCGGAAACAGAAAGGCTTTACCAACAAGAATCAGCAACCCCTCCAGGTAAGTGTTTTCCTGAAAAGAATCGCTCAGCGGAAGGAAACCAATGTGAATTTTTAACTATTATTTTAAATAGTTTTAAATTTTTTTCTTTCTTATCCATGTTCATTTACTTCTTCTGTTGGAGGAAGGGAAACCACCTATTTTGCACCAACCAACCAACCAAAAAAAAAAAAAGCCTTGGAAAACTTTAGTATCATGGAAACTGAAGAAAGTGCAAGTTTTGGTTTTCATTATTTAGCCAAAAAGTTGGTGGTTATGCTTCATTTGTAAAAATATTCCTGTTGTTTGAAAAGCTAGCTGTCAGTTTTAAAGAGGCTTAAGTCTATTTCTGCAAGTCTAGTTCTTAACTGGAGTAGTGTATTAACCACAGTGTTGGTAAATTACAGGGTGGAGGTTTTGTGTCTATATTTTGAGTATTCATAAAAGTTCATGTGTATAAAATAAAACCTTTGTGCGTGGTTCTTTAATTAAAAGATCCTACTGCACTTCATTAGGTGGAACAGCTGGAAAATGAAGCATGTATTCCTGCAACTCCAGAAAAGAAGGAGAATTCAACAGAATTACTTGAGAGTGACAAACATAAAAGTGATTGGGAAGGTAATAAAGACTTAATTGTTGCTACTTTAGGTGCTTGAACTCTGACAAGACCTATTTGAATTTTAAGTCTTTTAAAACTAGTTATCTTTTGGTTTTATATCATAAAATCAATCCTGGCTGCTAAAGTGTTATGATGGAAAAAGTCATGTACACTCAACACAGTGGTGCTGAAGTGGTGAACTTTGAGGGCAGCATTAAAAAATACATAAAGTGAAAGCACCATGTTCAGAAGTACCTGTCCTACACAGCTGTTTGGGTCACATTGGCTACCAAATTGAGTTCCTTAACACTAAGAAAAACCTTAACCTCAGCATTATATCTGTTATGTGTGACAGGTGACTTTGACTGGCTTGTGTTTACTAGGTCTTACTTTGCTACTCACCCCCTTATCAACTGAATAGCAGCTAATTGCCGGTAGTTGTAAGTTGTAAGACAAATTGTAAGTTGTAAAACAAATGAAATTTCTCCAAACAGCACCAAAAGACTTTTCTCTGTAGCACTGCCTTACCTGGCTGATGGTAGTGCAATGGTGTCGTGGGAATGTTGGCACTTTGTTGTCAGGGCAAACCCAGTGCTATCAGGCATCAGTTGCTGGGTATGCAGGCACATCTAAGCTATCCAGATGATCAACAACCCGGCTTGAAGCTGCAGGAGGCAGAGCTACCTGATGTTGAGGTGTCATGCTTATATGCAGAGAATTCTCCAGGTCATTGTAGACAGCCTTTTTAGGCATATGCACGAAGAAATGTCTAGGGAAATCTAGCTGTTAGTCTTACAATTAGGGATATGCACAAAAAACAACTAAACAGCAACTAATTTAGTACACCTGAAGCAGACAGCAACTTTCAGTCATTCCCCGGATTCTCTGAATTGGATATGTTCAAACTAAAAACTTTATTAGTCTTTCACTTGGACAGCCCTTTTCTAAATATGCTTTTAACAGCCTTATTTATCTGTTAATGGTGCCCAGACGTGGGACACTCATGTTAAATGACTGTACTGTCTGGAATGAATTAGTCATACAGATGGTGTTTGAATTATAACCTTTAAGTGCACACTCTTCTCTGTTTAATACAGGATTATCAGCCCAGGTGGGACAATTTTCAAAGGGAGGCAGTTCTGTGGAGACACCGGGTGTAAAAACTCCCGCTGATGCTGCCTGTGACTCTTGTGATTCCACAGCTGTGGCAGGAGGCTCCTGTGCTTTGCTGCAGGAGGATGCAAGCCTTCCCTGCATGGACCATCATCATACAGCAGCCACACTCCCTCTGAGACCTGAGCCTTCTCCAGTGAACCTGGAGGAACACCACAGTGCAAAAGTGTTGCACTCTTCAGATGAGTCTGCTGATGAATTGAAAGAACACCAGCAAAGTACTGGGACTGAAGTACTTGCACTTCCAGAGCTGCAGCAACTCAAAGGAGAAGCCGTTGTGTCTCCAGACATACCAGCAGCTGACTTGTTTAGCAGTGGTGCGGAAACAGAGGGCATAGATATATTGGCAAGTGTGTCCTCACTAAATTCTGTGGACCCAAACATTAAAGCCCAGGAAAAGGGGGATCCACTGTTTACTGGCAAAGTAGAAACCTGCTTGGGTACTGCTGAGAACCATTCCAACTGTGCTGTCCCAGGTTCTGCACTAAGCACTTCACAGGTTGCGGTAGCTGATTCAGAGTCTTGTGCTGGCGTTGAGACAGTGGCTGTTTTGGAGCCTGAAAACAGTTCAGTAACAAGAAATAAGAAAGAAACTTGTGAAATTATGGAATCTCAGTCACCCAAAGGCAATGCAGAAAAAAACCCAGACACTGCTGCATCTGTCTCGGAAGCAGGTTGCATGCTACCTCGCGGTAAATTGGAAGAATGTTTTAAAGCAGAAACTGTTCCTGTTTCAAAGGGTAACAAACAGGCCAGCACATCATGCATTTCCGAAAAACTTTCCATTGGGTGTCTTGCCTCTTCGAGTTTGGCTGGCTTGAAGAGTAATATACCTTCTGATGATGACAGTGGGGAGTACCAGATAAGCAGTACGGATTCTCACAGAAAACCAGTGGAAGGCAATCAGTCTTCAGATGAAAATGTGAAAACTCCACTGAAGACTCCTTCTGCTAAACCAGTCCGATTTACCATTGCACCAGCATGGCAAAGATCTCTCTCAGGGGGTTCAAATTCAAAGGAAGATTCCTATTCCAGAAGTTCCCCAACATCCCCTATAAGACCAGAGTTCTTTGAGGGAATGACAAAAGAGCACACACGTTTTGATGCAGTCATCCAGGAATCAGCAAAAACCAATTCAGATAGATTTGATCAAGACTGTAAGGACAGAGATCTGCATTTGAATTCTTTTATGGAGTGGGCTGACCATGAAACTCAAAATGCTGAGAACCCATTTGGGGTCAGACTAAGGAGAACATCTTCTTTACTGAAATACCAGAGTGAAAGCCGTGTAGAGTCTTCAAAGCTGATCCCCTCAGCTGTTCCCATTGCTTCTTCTGCTTCAGCCAAGGAGGATCAGAAATTGATGGGAACTGGGAAGCCACCTCCAGGCCTTCCTGTCAGCACAAAATCAGTTGTTAAAAAACCTGATCTCCTAGAAGACAAAAATCCCCCCAAGACCAGATCAGAAGAAGTGGCAAAGAAGCAAAATGGTCATAAACCTTCAGGTATTTATGCTGTATTTTTAACCAGACATTGTAGAAAACAGTGGTCATATAATAGGCTTGGCAGAGTGGCAAACAGAAGATAAAAATCCTCTTGATGAGGACCAAATTCAGTCTTGAGTTCGTCAGCACTATAATTTAATTGGCTTGATGATTTGGCCAGTCAAGAGAATTCTTGGCTTATCTTAATGAGGGATGTGTTCCAGCAAGAATAACAACAATAGCTTGAGGGCTATATCTGAAACATTTCTGGTACAAGGGACTTGTGCATATAGTCAGAGTTTTAACACAGTTTTTAAAAACTTACTGCTGTTTGGTAGTTAATTCAGACTGCATCTGCTCAAACCTTAAGTAGAAGTTGCATTAGGTGTGATTATTTTTTTCTGCAATGACTTAATTTAAAATATTTAAAAAGTGACAAGGCAGCCTGTATTTTACTGCCTACATGAAAAAATCATGTTTAGCATATTAATTTAGTCTGCAATATAAGGATTTTGTTTCAAAGACAAAATCCAATTTACAACAACCTTAGTGGGAGTTCTGCCATTGACTTAAATGGAAGTGGACTCAGGTCAAAAACTCCAAAATAAACAGGAAAAAGCAGTTATTGCCAAGGACAAAATCATCAGGGAAGGTAATTTCATCTCCACAGTGTTCAAAGAGTATTACAGATGCTGAAGGATTTAAGACATGAAACACTAGCTTTAGGCTGACTTGACCTAAATCCCTTCTTTACTTCAAAAATGCTTCTTTTGTAGAAAAAGTCACTCCATATTTGGAAACTGCTTCCTCTGAGCCAGCTTGGGTCTCCATGGCAAAGCTAAAACAAAAGGGTTTCCAGGACCACCCTCTTGCCAAAGAACATAAAGCTGAAGACAAAGCTTTGACCAAAGTGGATCAGGAGGAGGTAGAGTACCAAGTAATGTTGCATGGGTGTGAATCCTGCCCTAGGTTGCCTGGGTGCTCTTGCAAACTGTTCAATGTCATCTTCATGGGAGGTGTGTTGTGAGCACTACCCAAAGAAAGATTTGCAGGGCTGGCCTCTAAAAACACTGAGACAGACAACTGATGCAAGTGAGCAAACACACATGTGCCTACACTGTCCCAGTGATTAGTTTCAGAGCTCCTGTATGTTCCTTTGCACTCCTCAAACCCAAACATTTTCAGAGCTTGCTTATTGCCCATAATGTATTTATGTAGCCCAAGAGCTGCTTTGAGCTGTATTAGCTTCCTCACTGCCTTCTCCCTCCCTCCCACAGGATGTCCCCAGCCATCCTTGTCTGGCTTTTACTGCATTTCCACAGTCGGGTTTGAGATGTTGCCAGGGTGAGCTTTATGAATGCCAGTGGCTAGTGGTTCAGTTGCATTCTTTTCTTCTCCCCTCATGCTGTAGCAAGGGATCTGTGCTAGTGAGAACATACTGAAGAAGAATCTGCCTTCCAACTTGAGCTCTCAGGAGAAGAAAATGCAAATGAAGACCAATGTGTCTGCAGCAACAGGTATTCTTTTTCTTTACATCCTTACATAGTGGCTACGGTTTATACCAGTAAGTGGTGTGGGTGGCAGGTGATGGGGGAAGATAGACCCATTTTTATAATCAGCACACTTTATATAAGGCCCGTTCAGAGTGTATTGTGTGTAAGTCAACATAATGGCTTGCTCTTTCAGCAGAGAAAGCAAGTGAGGAACTTTTATCTCCACTGCCAGTTCACAGAATGGCATATAAACAGTCTGGTGATTTATTACCAGCCAAGGTCAGTACTAAAGAATAGCAGCTGAAGTTGGAGAGTGTCCAGAAGAGAGCAGCAAAAAAAGGTCAGGACTTCTAGACCTCCAGTCAGCCAGGAAATACTGATGGAAGGGGATTTGTTTAGTCTAGAAAAGACAATAGAATTTTCTGTAGAGGCCAAGACTAGTCTTTATGACCTTTATGAGCTTAAAATGCACCAGGGGATGTTTAGCTTAGATATTAGGAAATACCATCTAATAATAAGAGTGGTGAGGTGCAGAAAATGTGGCTTGCATACAGAGTGTATGCAGTTTCCATTGCTGGATGTGTTGAAGAGATAAACACGTATCAAGAATAATTTAGGCAGAGTGAGTTTCACCCTCAGGTGAACAGAGGCCCAATGGCCCCTCTCCTGATCTGTTAGCTGAGTTTCTGGATAATAAAGATGCAGGGGAAGACTGTGACTCAGACATCGTGACTCACATTACCTCTTCCAAGGCTTCTGCTGGGCTGCAGATTATCCCTCCCTGCTTACTCAGTGTGGTGCCAAACCTCCAGCTACATATAGATAAGCTGGTTCTTCAGCTGTAAAAGCATATTGTGCCAGCTGAAAGCTATTGATTTCAGATACTGCCTAAGAAGATGAGAAATGCCCCACTGTGTCAGAGCTGTGGCTTTTCTGTTCCAGATTCCTGTTGCTGACACAGTAGGAGATGCTGTCTAGAGAGAGCACATGCACCTGGCCACTTTTCCCTTGTAATCTGCCAGCATCCAGAGTTGTTGTGCTGGAGGTTTTAGGTGGTACCTCTGTGCTGCTCCCTGTAGTAGTTATTTTTAGAGCTGTTATCCATTTCTGAATCTACAGGTTCTACAAAATGAGCTTTCTCCCTCAGTACAGATATCTGGCTGGCTCAGGATGTGTGCACCAACACAGAAGCTCTGATGGCAGTTGCCAATTAACTCTGTGTGTGACTAACATACTATAGCTTTTAGAAAGGGTTCTGTTACAAACCAGCTTTGTCTTAATGCTTCTAGGTGTAAAGTGAGAGATGAAATGTAAACAGGCCAAGATTTTTGCTTGGATTAGGTCTTCCTTTGAAAGGCTGGCACAAGCAGACTGGATTTCTGTTTGTTGAATCATCTAAACCTTGGAAGCCAGCAGCCTTCAGTCAAAATTCAGAACTTCACAAACAAATCTGCTACTCCTTTACTAGAACTTGCACTCTTTGTGGTCCTTGCAGCAGAACTACAAGTTTTTGTGCATCACCTCTTCCTAAGAATTGGCCTAGTTTCCTGATGTTTGATAACTGTTTCCTCAGCTCCAGAGACAGCGTTTATTTATAGGCATATTCTAGTGTTCCACACCTTGAACATCACGAAAAGCTCTGACTAGTGCTGATGTTTATGGAAAACACTGCTCCTCTGCTGCTTGCAATACCATGCCCTATTGTTTAGGAAATGTTCAGCACTGTCCATGTGTGAGTAGGAAACTGGGAATCACAAATGTAACCTCCCCTTTATTTAATTCCCATTAGCACAGCCAGCAGTTTGGCTAGTTGAAGGTGCTGGTGGTGAACAGGACGTAGACTTAATATCCAGAGATATTAATATTCTCAGTGTTGAAAAACATATACCAGTTACTTTTAACTCCACAGCAAGCCTGGGGTGATCCTTATCCTGCAGATATTTTGCTTCCATTTTCCTGTGTACTCAGGAGTTTTATTCCTGGATTTTCTTGCACTCACAGAGCAGAATTAGTCTGTGGAACTCCTTGCTGTGCACTTTAAAGGAAGTCAAGTGTTTGAAAAGATTAAGAAATTAATTAGCAGAGAATATGAATTAGAAAAATAACTGGTGCTATAGTCTCCACATGCTTGAAGAATTTTGAAGAATTTCTTCATTTATCAGGGCTTAGACACTTGCTGTTGGGACTGAAGAGAAGATTCTTATATTACTCACTAGCAGCTTGCTATCAATTTTCCCGTTGCAGTAGCTGGTCCTTGCCATTGCTGTAGCTGGACCAGATAGTACCAGAGATAACCAGTTTAGCAAATCTTCTGACTTATTTGTGATTCAAAAGCATTTTGGGCTGTAAAACAATTGCTTTAGAGATGAGGAGATATTACTGGCAGAAATGGAGTCTTTAGCCCTCTGATGAGTGATGGATATCTTCTTGTTGGCAGGTAAAGTTGAACCTATTTCTCAGGAAGCATCTGTGATTCCTGCTGTTGAAAAGGAAGCAAGGCACTCCTCTAACCTGCCAATGACACCCTGCAGTCCTGCTGAACCACCGTGGCTGTCCCTGGCCAAGAAGAAAGCCAAAGCATGGAGTGAAATGCCCCAGATTGTACAATAGGAAATGACAGGAGCATCCTTCTTCGTATTGCCAATAGCTGCGTTAACTCCATTTAATCCCTTCTTTACTGTGACCATTTTTTGGAGAAATTAGAGCCTTAAAGCTTTTGATCAGACTGTTGTATGTAAATACACGATGAAGAAATGCCATTGCAGGCTTAATTTGATGTATTAGGAAGCTGAACATTTCCTGCTACTGAACACTAGGAAAACTTGATTAATTTTTATATCCTTACACATCGATGGTGATGTTCTAAAGAGGACATGCTTCAGGCTTTTGAAACATTTCTCTAGCAAAATATGTTTTTAAAGTTTCTTTTAAAGAAACTCTTTCTTTTAAAGACCATACAGTATTTTGTGCAGTTGCTTTGAGCTAAGAAATTAATGTATGCTATAAAATAGATACAATGCTGGGCACTGACGCATCATGACTCATGGGCATTGATGTCATCACACTTCTTTCTCTAATGCTCTGGGATGGGCACTCTGACTTTGCTTCAGATTGTTAATGGATCTGCTTTGTGATAGCTGTAAGATCTTAACACATTATGAGTTAGAGCAGTTCTGGCTTTTGTGTGGTTTGAAGTCACAAGGCTTTGGTCTTGGTGCTTTGCTCATAGATACCCAGTGGAATGGCCCAGAGCCACACATCCATTCTCTCCCATGCACTGGAAAACTATCACGCTGCAGTGTATGCTCTGCTTTTGGTTCCACCTTTGGAAATCTGGGGTAATTTAGACATTCTGCTCAAAGAATCCATCCTATCTTTAATTATGGCAAACAGTGATTTTTTTCTTGTGTGTGAGATTCCTCAGCCAATTGTCTCTCTTAAAGAGTGTGTTGGGGATGAGAGCTCTGCTCCTTAGAAGGTGGCATCTTGTTTTCAAGAAATGCCACTCCCTATGTTCATGTGGATATGTATTTAGTCAGTTGTATTTAATATTAGTGATACAAGGGGCATCTGCTTTCCTTCTTGTCTCCTCAGTCTTTAACCTGTAACTCAACATCAGTCTGAGAATGTGCAGCTAGGGCAGGATTGTTCTCTCAGGGCCTGGCCTTGCAGTCACTTAAACTGACAAAAGTTTTGCTATTGGCTTTGAAAGACACAGACATTTGAAAAAGAAGCTTTGTAAAATGATGTTAGTGGCATAAGTGGCAGTAGCACTTAATGGTCCTTTTCAGTTCTTGCAGCATTGCACATTATATAGCTTCTGTTTACAGTCAGTGCAAGATGTGAAGGCTGACTTGGCTGATGGACTGTTTTTAGCTGGAAAGTTGGTAGATATTTTTAAGGATAATAATATCTATTGATAGGATTAACTGCAAAATGAAATAAATTGGTTTCAGATCAGCTCAAGCAAGACTTTAATCTTCCAGTCTTGGCCTGAATTTAATAAGTAGCTCTTGCAATTTGAAAACAGTATTAATTATGAGGTAGAAAGTGATTTTTTAATTTTTTTTTTTTTCATATAGGTGAAAACTTACCCAAGTAGGCTCAGAATCTGTAGATACTCTTTATTCTGGACTAAGACCAGAAAGAGTAGGAGTTTCACATTGGCTTGGTAATCAATGCCTATTTTATTACTTGTTTTTCTCTGCTTTAGGGAGCATATCTTCTCTTACAAAGAACTGAAACATTTGTATTTCTCTGAAACTTTTGACTGTAATGTAAATGAACATACTCAGCTTTGATTCCTGAAGTTTTGTACAGCTGCCATCCCATCACAAGCTTACTGACCCTGTGAAATACGGGCATTTCTATATTCAGTAAACTCTCTTCTCTTTTTATTAATATGGATTGTGATCCTTCATCCAAAGTACTGCAAATGATACTATAATCTCTCTTTCCCTGTGTTTGCTTTTGATCTTAATACTGTTCCTGTCTTTTATGTTTGGTATGTATATATGTTTTTGTAATCCTTGTCTTGAAGGAACCCTGTTTGTATTCCATTCCCATATTTGGTTTACTATTAAATGCTGTTGCCAGTGATGATGGTATAATTTCTGGGAAAAAAAGAGGGATGAATGGCCCCCATTCATTAAGGAAAAAAATAAAAAAGAGGTCTTTGGTCAATATAGGCTCTATACATGGATATACTGCACAGATTTTGTTTTGAGGTGATTTTGTGTGACCTAAGACTGGATCAACATGGCTGGTCAGACTAAGAAACTTTTCTAAATCTAGCTATTTAGCAGTTTAAAAATATCACCAGAGAGCTGATGGCTCTCCTTTTGTTTTGGAGTTATTGCTCCTCCAGTGAAGGGTTGGTTTGAAGGCAAGCACTCATGGTTGTAGGAAGCCCTGAAAATACTTTTTCAAATGTGTTCAAACAAGCTGCTCTAAAATATTTTGGAGGTGCTTTACAAAAGAAGGAAAACACAAGAGAATTATGAGATGTTACATTTGAAATTCACTTGCATTCTGGATTTCTGAAGTTAATGTTTTCAAGTTTCTCTCTTCAACTGAGGGAACAAAAAGCACGTAGAGAAAACATCAGAACTGAGTCTCTGGAGTATCAGGGATTTATTGATGCATTTATGAAAGTTGGTAACTCCATTAGCAGGGTCTCGATTTCCTGTTTTCCAAGTGTAGTTTTCAGGTGTTCGATCAGTAAAAATAACTAACATAACAAGTGCCCTTTGGGTGGTTATTTATAGACACAATCACTGTCTTAGAAAATGAGCTGTGTTGAAGTGGGGAGTTCTTTGCAGAACGTCACTGTGAGGTTTTGTGCCTCGGGATCTGTAGCGGAGGATGTAGAAATGTGTCCCTGGAATTCCCTGTGCACAGTCCAGCGACTGGGGCTTGGCTTTGGTGCTGCTGTGTGACAGCAGAGGGTGCTGGAGCCTTCCCCGAGCGGCGCAGAGGCTGCTCAGTGTTGGAGAAGGCGGATTTCAGCGAGGCTGTAGCACTAAACACTGACCCTTCTCATGTTAAAGTTTGGATAGAGGGGGCCCCCCCTGACATATTACGTTATGTCTTTTTAAGGGCTGCAGTCTAAAATAGTGAATGTAATTTGTTTTGAAGCATTACAGCAGAAATTCTAAGCTTAGGAAAGCTGTGACTCCTGAGTTCGTGCCACCTGCTCTGCTAAGTGCTTTTGAGATCAATACAGGAAGGATATTAGCCTGTGGAGATACTCTATCCTTTAGAACTGCTCCTGGAAGATGATACATCTGAAGGATACAGGTAATGAGAGATGTGATTAGCAGCCTACTGAAGAAAGCAAACATTTTTCTTTGTCTTTTCCTCCAGGGTGTGTTAACCTACCTACAATCTTGTTCGAGATTTAATCAGGTTATAAGATTTGACAAACTTGTCTCATCAGCCATCACCAGAATATTAATAATGATGTCGAAGCTCTTGTATTTGGGGAATACTTGTTTAGGATTCTGACCTTGACTTCTTGCTTGCTGTAGTTGTTGAATTCTGCCTGTTCTATGTTGTCAGGAAGTATTGAACCCAAAGTATCAATATTTGTCACAGGCTACAGCCTCGGTTAGTTGTTGATGCAGAGGTTCACTGAAACCTCTGTTTTTCATTGAAAATGAATTTTATGTCTTTTGTGGAAGTATGCAGGTGAAATAAACTGTAAATTCTGGACTTGGAACACAAACCCATTCCTCTGCCCAGAACAAAATGCCTGTTCAGGTATTTCCAGCTGGATGGTAGAAGGGGCATGGCTGGGTTGCAGTGAATGACAGTTCAAGCTGAGAAACAACAGGCTTAGAGTGGGAAGCTGCAATTCCAATTATTCTTCCATAGTGGGATGGATCTAAGCCCAAGGAAAGGTAATGAACGGGGCCTTTAAGTAGGGGTTCTTCATGCATCTCTTCTCACTGCACATGAGGCAACAGAATGTGATATGTTCTTGTGAAGAGTGGAAATACATCAGAGGTGCCCACTGCCATACACAGCTTTTTTTTTTTTTTCTTCTTTCATTTGATGAAGCCCATATACTTCCACTACATTTGGCCCAGGAGGTAACACTTCTTTACCAGACCTTGTTCCTTGCTCTGAACCACATTAAGCAGGTGAGCACCATGACTGCACTGCAAATCAAAACTGGTTTTGACCTGCTGGTCAAGTCCACAGCAGCACAACAGTTTAAATGGAATTTCTGTGTAATCCATGTGTTAAAAATGCAGCTTCTCAGGAGTGAGCTAAGCCAAAGTTTAGCAGCTTCCTCTGTCTTGAGGGGCAGATTATTGACTGGAAAATGTGAGATGCTATTTTTATTCTTATTGTGCTAGGAGTGATTTAAAAAGAAGCTATTTTAATAGCTGTTTATTTTTTAGAGGCAGTTCAAAGAAGAAAAATCTAAAGGCAGATTATCTAAACAGGATTATTAACTGTCAATTCTTAGACTAGTCTAAACCAAGTTAGTCGCTAAACAAGAAACAGGTATGGAAATGGCTGAAGTGTGGAGTATTTTATTTATATAATTTTGTATATTGTAGAAATGAAAAGGCAGCAGGAAGGGATTGATTGACATAAATAACCTACATGGAAAAGGTTGTTTGGTATCTGAAACTCTTGTTCCAGCCTTTCTTCTCTCTGCCTCACAATATTTCACTTCTCTCTCTAAGCATTCGTACTTTTCATTTGTGGGATCAAAACCGATTTTTACTTAACCTGTTTTGTAGTCAGCCATATTTTACAGAATTTGGATGAAAAGCTGACAAGCCCATGATCACATACCTGTCAATACTGGCAACAGTGTCTTGTTCAAAGTTCATCCTAACCTCCATGGTTAAGCTTCAATTTCCCTATTATACCATTCAGACCTCAAATTAGTTTTGATTTGCAGGTATTTTTCCAGCACAGAAGGGTGAGGTTGGCTGCTTTAAAATTAGAACCTCTACGCAGTGCTTAGGAATATGTTTCTGTGGCATTGAGGTAACTTTTTCCAAGTTACACAATAAGTTCACTGTAGCAACGGCAGCAATGTATGGGAAAGGGTTGAAGTCCTGGGACTGTGTTGTGTTTCCATAGAGTTTGAATTCCATGCAGCAGCCTTCCCTAATGGTGTCATTGGCACTGCTGAGAGCTGACAAAGCAGGAGGAGATGTTGCTGGCTGGCTCTGTGTGTCGTTCAGGCTGTGCTAAATGCCAGCATCACTGCTGACGTGGGCAGAGGGGTGAAGTGACAGTCATGGAGAAGAGGTGGAAGGGTGACGTGCACCCCCAAGGTGCAGCATTTTACCGGTTGTGCCTGTGGGATGAAATAACTTCACTGGACTTTGTGAGCTGTGGAGGTATGTTTTATTCATACAGGAGTAAATAAAGTGACATTTCTGTCACAGCTAGATGTACAAATTAGGATATATCTACATTAAACTGGAGCTGTGTTTTAAACACAAGAGGCATTTACTCAGTTTGGATCCTGAGTCATACATATTTCAAAGAGGAGGAATAAATATCTGTTTCAGTAGAACATTTAATTTGTAAAAGTAGTTCTACCCAAAGATGAGTGACCTGATCTGTAGTTGCATGAAAAGAAATCAGAACAGTGTCTCATTTTATGTTTTAATTTCCGTTTTGACAGAACAATTTATTACATAAGCATCCTTAGTGTTATGATCCCTTTTAAAAAATAATTGTCTCCTTACTTTGCACTGTTTATAAAATAAGAGCTTTAGCTGTTAGAAGTACTACATATGGTGGTAGAATAATTGTGGGGAATAGGCACATTGCATGTAAAATCCTAGGAGAATCAACATCACTTCATATTTGCTATTTTTTTAATAGTTTCAGAGTATGACTTGCTACTAAAGCACAAATTCTGCAAAGTCCTCTAGCATGGATCAGTATGGGGTGGGGCTTGGACTGACCCTGTGGGGCCTGTAGAAAGTTAGACTGCAGGTCTAGTCCTACTCTTGAGTGGACACACTGGAAATCGGATTTGGCTCCTTCTAAGAGATGTTTAAGCAAAGTGAAACAAAAACTTTAAGAAAAGTATGTTATTTTTTTAAATAATCAACCATGTCATGCAAATTCAAACAATATAACTTGGGGGTTGAAATGGCATGGATTGATGTGACAAAGTGTAATGTTGCAATCTCATGTCCAACTACCCTTGAATGGGGGGAAAGTCGGGTCTTACCCCTTACTCCTGGGAATCCAGGTCTGGTAACCAGGTCCGTGTGACTCTGGGGCTGTGATTGGTCTGGCACCTCTAAGAGGTGTGTTTGGCTCAGACTTGCTGAGTGTGAAGGTCTTCACTTATTCCTAGGTAACGCACCCCAAAATGGTGTTATCTGAAGGATCTGATGACATCAGTCAGAAGTTCCAAGCAAATGCATCTTCTCTAAAGCCAAGTTTGATAAGTCACTTCTGAGAGTCCTTTAAATCCAAATGAGGAGTAGCTGCTCCACGCAGTGTGTTTGCATCCATGCCAGCAGGCATCCTGCTCCACAGTACATTTGGCTTTATGTTGGGACAGAGGCTCCCTCCTGCTATTCAGAGAAAGAAATGTTTGTGCAGCTTGAGTTTAGGGGCTCTGGAGAGTGAGCTGAAGCCAGTCATTGTCCAGATGGGACCTCTGGTGTGTTCCATGGAATGTTTAATTAATCTAATTCAGTGGGTTTCCTACAGCACAGGTGTCCTTATGACTGCAAGACACTAATTTAGCCCAATGTAGCAAAGGTCTCATTTGCAATTTCACCAAAGTCACTGGAATTGGCAGGAATTGGGTGGGAATGTAATTTGTTTATGCTAGTTTGTATCTTACTTCATCCTTTTTCTTGTGGATTTCTCCTCTGAAGGCAGTAACTCAAAAGTCAGAGCATATAGAGACACTGCCATGACTAATTCTTTTTTAGAGCACTCCATTCCTTTAGAAAGACAGTTTGAATCTCTGTAAAGCTAATGGCATAACACAGGGGGCTGGGATGGAGGGATGAGATACCTGGACCTCTCTATGGGGACTTCAGGTGTGCCAGAGCCTGTTCCCCTTCCTGCTTCACCTTCTCTGCCCTGGCCAGGAA